TATTAGGGTTTATTTCTCTTGTCTTGTCTTTGTGTTCAGCTGCTGCTGCAGCAAACCAAAGAGAGAAGCAGCAGGGAGTCTCTATGGGAGACTCGAGCTAGCCCGGACCAGCAGCAGCAGCAGCAGCAGCAGCAGCGGCGGCAGCAGCAGCAGCGGCAGCAGCAGACGCAGAAGAACGAAATGAGTTAATAAAAACTTATTCTTGGGAGCGTTTGTTTAAAAGCCAGCATGAAAGCCTCTAAAGCCCAAACCTAAACCCTAAACCCTAAACCCTAAACCCTAAACCCTAAACCCTGAACCCTACGCCGATGCAAATCATGGTCACCTCCTTCCCGTGGGCTGCTGTACGTACACCTGGATTAAGATGGAAAGCGAAAAGAACAGCAGCAGCAGCAGCAGCAGCATAAGCAGCAACAGCAGCAGCAACGGCGCTGCAGCAGAGGCACCGAAGGCGCCCGGGAACGCTGCAGCAGCAACTGCAGCAGATCCAGCAGCAGCAGCAGCTGCTGCCCCCGCAGCAGCACCAAATGATGTACACGTGTCCGAAGATGCAACAGCAGCGCCTGCTGCAGCAGCAGCACCTGCTGCCGCTGCAGCACCAAATTCAGACGGTGCAGCAGCAGCAACTGCAGCAACAGCAGCAGCATCAGAAACAAAGCCAGATGGAGAAGGGCCAGCAGCAGCAGCACCATCAGCAGCAACAGCAGAACCAGCAGATGTAGAAGCGCCGGCAGCAGCAGCAGCAAAAGCAGCAAAAAAGGCAGCAGGCGCACAGGAACAAGTCGAGCGAGAAGCAGCAGCAGCAGCAGCGGCAGCAGCAGCAGCGGCAGCAGCAGCAGGTAAACAGGCACCGGAATCTAGTGCCGCAGGTGGCCCCTCAGGCCCTCAGACAGCAGCAGCAGCAACAGCAGCAAAATCACCAGCAACGGCAGCAGAGGCTGCGGCTGCAGCAGCAGCAACTTCAGATCCGCAGATGCCGCACAGTGATGCCGAGGAACACCAGCAGCAGCACCTGCAGCAGCAGCAGCTGGAACAGCAGCAGCAGCTGGAGCAGCAGAGGCAGCAGCAGCAGCCGCAGCAGGCAGAACAGCAGCAGCCGCAG